TCTTCCAACTGGTGTTAGATGCAGCCCATCCCTTGCCAGGAGTCCGTTAATATATAACGAAAAATGCCAGTTTCATACTCAGGCTTCCATGTACTCCATGCTTCCACTAATTACTCTGAAAACATAGGAACTTGTAATGAGCACAGAGTATAGCTTCATGTGAATCTCATGCTTTCTTAAAAACAAACAACAACAACAAAAAAACCCAAACCCAAAACCAAAACAAAATCAGATATGTAACTTTAAGCCTGCAAATGGTGTTTCTGCCAAGTGGTCTTTTACAGCCCCCCAAAAGGGTGGTACTTTAAATCCAAGCTTAGAGTTAAAACAAAGGAGTGTGAAAGTCACTGCATCACTTTGCATATGAACTTTCAGTGTGGGAGCAGAACAAAGTTGATACAGGCTGTGTCCACACTGCAGAAATGATCCAGTTTCACACCATTTTAACTGCCATGGCTCAATGCTATGTAATTCTGGGAACTGTAGTTTGTTGTGGCCCTAGACTTCTCTGACAGAAAACACTAAATGTCTTAAAAAACTACAATTCCCAGAATTTTATAGCATGGAGCTATGGTAGTTAAAATGGTGTCAAATTATTATTCTTGCATTGTAGAAGCAGACACAGATTTAGTGTAGTTATATGAACAATCCTTCAGTCTGACTGTACAATTCAGTTGTTTATGAATAATTACAACAGTAATTGTTGATTTGCACAATCAGCAGAATCATGAGGAGTAGCTTCATATGGATTTTAACATTTCATACTACAAGAAGAAGGATCTTACCTTGAATGTTTCCCCTGACAGGTATGGGAGAAATCTTCCTACACATAGAAAACCAACACTTCAATGAGAAGGCTAGCCTAGAACTCTTTCCCCTGATAATGCTGGTCTTTCACATGTGGGGAATTTCTTACAGGGGAGCATTCAAGCATGAGATCTTGTGCTTGCAGTCTGAAACAGTATAATCCAGGAAACAACTGCATCATATGAATCAGTTATAACGCAAGGTGTCTTAAGCAATGACGTCTCCAGGAAATGACATTAATGTCTGGTCTGGGTCACTTCAGTCACATCTTTCTTCCTTAGAGGGAAAATGATCCCAGCTGACCTGGAGAAACAGATCGAACAGGCCAAATCTGAGGTAGGTTTTCTCTAGAGAGGGAAGGATTGGGCATATGGGAAGGTCATCCATTGCTCAGCTTTAAGGTTTAAGCATGTTACAGGGAAACCCATTGGGTAACGGGCAAATCACATGTTCTCAACCTTAGGGAAAGGCAATGGCAAACTCCTTCTGAACAAATCTTGCCAAGAAAACCTCATGATAGGGTCTCTTTAGGGTCTTTAGGGTTGACGGCAAACAATAACAACAACAACAAGGGATGGTCCCCATCCCCGCTCTTGCAGTGTTGGTAAGAGAGCTGGGATGTGACACCAACACAGTGGTTATTTGCTTAACCCCACTCAGAATCTTTGGGAAAAAAACATTGAATTTCATGATTTCGTGTCATGCATTTTTAAAATCAAGCATATCCAGGAACTCACATGGGATAAGGAGGAATATTGGCTGGTGGCAAGTAATGTTAAGCAAGGTCCTGAATATGCCTACCTATGTTATTCCTCCCTTCCAGAAGGCATTCCCCTTCTTTGTTAATGCCACGTGTGGCACCACGGTTCTAGGAGCATTTGATCCTGTGGCGGATATTGCAGAAGTGTGTGCAAGACATAGGATTTGGCTCCATGTGGATGTAAGTAAAGTATACCGAGTTGAGAACCCATTCCTTGGGGATAGAGGGAGATGCTTGTTATAAAAATGGGATATTTGGTGTACCAGTAGTTCAGAGAAGGGAAAGTGTGGCATTTTAGGTGTTGCATCACAACTCCCATAATATCTCACCATTGGCTATGCTGGTTAGGGATGATGGAAGTTGAAGTCCATGACCATCTGAAGTGCTCCAGTTGACCAGCCCTTCTTTAAATCCCAGACACTAAAAAACTAAGTTGTTGAGAGGTACAAATAGCCACTTCTGGTCCATTGAGCAGGATCCAAAGGGCCACACACACTGTGTTCAGCAGGTGCACTATATTTTTTCACATCCTTTTACTGTCATACGTCACCAGAGGCTCCTCAAAGAGCATTGAGGGTAGTGTGAGTGACTGGGTAGCTTGAAGCTGTTTTACCTATGCAAACGCAGAAGAGCTTTTTGCATGATAGACATAGATCTCCCAGGATGTTGTATAGTGTTTGGTATTCATGGGATGCCTTTTCAATGACACTGCTCTTGGTAATGTTTTCAAGAAGTAAAGTTATGTCAGAATTCAGTTCTCCATACATTTGATTGATTGATTGAGGATAATCTCATAACTCTTCTCATTTTGGATCCTGGTTGCAAGGTATTTCTCATGCAGATATGCATCAGGCAGTCTCCTCTCAGAACAAGGAATTATTTTGTGTGTCTGTATTGTATGCTGTATTGTACGTCGTGGTCAGTGTGGTGTAGTGGTTTAAGAATAGGACTAGGACTCTGGAGATCAGGGTTCAAATCCCAGCTTGGCCATGGAAACCCACAGGATGACCTTGGACAAATCACACCCCTTGAGCCTCAGATGAAAGCAATGGCAAACCTTCTCTGAAGAAACCTGCCCCCTAGAAAACCCCTGATAGGTTCGCCTTAGGGTCACCATAAGTCAGAAATGATTTGAAGGTCACAACAACAACAAATTGTATAATGCATTCAAACCTGAAACAAAGATGCAGTAGACCAACCTACCACTGTAGAAACTGAGTGGGAAATCAATGAGCTATGCATAGATGTGACCAACAGCTTTTTTTGGGTGTTGAATCTCTACTATCAAATTGTGTGACGAGAGGTAATTAATAAACTCAAGTTTTGAGGGACAAAAGAGAATGACATGAGGGGGGAAAGTTGATAGAAATAGGACTGTGCATACCATATAATTTTTTTTGGTGCAGAATTCCATATCTTGAGATATTTTCTTTTTTTAAAAAAACACATATCCTGTTTCAAGACTCATGATTTTGGTGAGAAGTAATGCAGACCTACCTACTTATACCTGTTAAAGGAGCTTGAACTGTCTTGAGGAGGGCATTCATATTTTTTGCCTACAAGTGACCATCCTGACATTCTATGACAAATCAAAACCACAAATGAGTCAAGGCTCGCCTTTCAGAATCCAGAGCTGGATGAATATTCCTGGAAATTTTCTTAAGCTCCACAAACACTCTTCAAATATTTTCAGACTGGGATTGCTGACCACACAAAACAATTGTTTAGGTCAGTGCCCCTCAAATGATGGTCTGTGGACTAGAGGTTATTTGTGAATCATTGACTGATCATTTACACTGAGTTTCCAGGAAAGAAAGAAAAAGAAAGAACTATGGTACACATTGGGAAGGAAGGGCATCTCCCAGTCCCGAGCATCAGGTAGCTTATGAAGTACAGCTTTAGACCAGATGTATCCTTGAAGATTAATTTGCTTCTCTTATTCCCTTCTATAGGCTGCATGGGGTGGCAGTGCCCTCCTCTCCCAAAGACATCGACACCTTTTGGATGGAATTGAGAGGTAGATGCTATTTCTTGTCATGGATAGGTGGGCTACAGTGGCATACCATGGACTGGTGTCACTGGTATGGTGGAGGGTAGACTGCCTTGGTCCCCAGAGGTCCGTTTGGGCTCTGTAATGGCTGCAGCTGCACCAAAGTCCAAGCAGAAGGAACTGCCCCATTTATCAGCCACTGCTGCTGGAGGAGGCAGTGCCAGGCCCCTGAAGATCCACTTGGGCTTAGCGTGGCTGGAGCCATGCCAAAGCCCAAATGGAAGAGATTGCGATGGCTGCTGGGCAAGTGAAAAAGGGACACAAGCCCTGTCTCACTCACCCAGCAGCTGCGCCGGGTGTTGCACCCCACTGGGGTGAGGTGTGTTCGCACTCCCCTATTGACACCACTGGTGGGCTATAAGAATGTATCCATGGAAGAATACAAGAGAGTTGGTAGACTGCAAGCAAGCAGGACTGGGCTGTTGCAGTCACTCAGTTGATAGCTAAGGGGCCACTCTTGGGTCTAGGACTTTATGGAAGCAACTTGATTCCGATTGGTCATTTGTGTCATGTGGTCTCTGCTAAGATGCAAACTGCAGTACCATCTGTAGCTATCCTTCAGGTTTCCTCAGCAGTGCATCAAACAGTAGACCAGCAGCTTCTTCCTTTGGGAATCGGATACAGCACTGCAAAGAATATTGATCCTGTTACTTGAGAGCTAGTGTGACCTAGGAGGTTATCGCCCTACCTTTCCTTCCAGCCTCGGCACAGGCTAAAACTTTAAAAAACTTTTTAAAAATGGGTGTTATCACACACCTCCATGCCCAATCTGGAGGCATCCCATACCAGTCTTGGCATCCTGTACCCATTCTGCACTTTTCTGGCACTTTTAGAAAGAACAGAAAAATCCACAACTAGTGTATAGTATGACCCTGTATCCACCAATTCAATATCCAGAGTTTCACTTACCTACATCTGGAAAAAAAATATATTCTCTTTAGGCATTTCTAGGTCTTCCAGTATGATCCTTGTGGTCAGCCTCTAGCCCAAGCATATCATAGAATCCTGCTGCAGGACCTACAAATGCCTAAAGAAGTGTACTCTCTAGGAATTTCTATATCCTCTAGAGTAATTCTATAGTATGCTTGGGTTGGAAATTGTTTGCCTTATTGAAAGTAATAGGGTTCCCTATTATCCATGGTGTCCATAGGGGGAATTTGAACATAACCTCTGTGGATACAGGGGTTGTAATGTAGATTGTTATAGAAACAAATTCCTTTTCCAAAAGTAACTTTTCAGTGTTTCTCCTGAATGCTATCAGCTTGGGAAATGTCCTGGAAAGCCCTGTTTTGCTATCAGTCTGATTAATTTTCTTCTATCCTATCACGTTTGGGCCCAATCTTCATGACATGTTAGAACAGGGGGATTCAATTCTGACATGGCAAAGCAAGGGGCAAAGGGGTCAGAGATGGGAGATATAGTCACAGGGAGGCTGGAGGTCATGTACCAGATCAGGGAAATGTGGGTGGAGGGGCAGGGGCAGGAGCAGGGGCAGGAAATCTATAATAGGTGGGCTAGAGATGAAACACAAGGTAGGTGAAGCAAGAGAGCTTGTGTCGTTAAATAGTATGGTAGAATTGCCTGAAGGACTGTCTTGGATGGGCAGCTTATTATAAGACCTTATTGTCTACTTTGGCATATAAGGTCAGCCAAGTATCTTCATTATATAAAGTGACCTGATAGCCCAGATCTGTAGCCTAGAGGGTCTCTTGATCTGAAGCCCTTAGCCTGTCTGAGAGAAGCTGGTAATGGCAGCAGCATAGGTCAGTGGAAGCCACAATAGAAACATTCCTTGTTGAAGGCTGCTGCTAGCACTGTACAATCACAATGAATTATGACAATCACCTATGCATGCTAACTATTCCTGGCAAATGTATACTCATGCTAACACAGATACACTAGAGCAAATTGGTGTATCTGGTGCATGGTCAAAGAGTGGTGAAACACAGAGATAACAGATATCTGTATTTTCCAGCGTATAAGACGAATGGGGCGTATAAGACGACCCCCAACTTTTCCAGTTAAAATGGGATTGCCGTATAAGACGACCCCTCTTCCAACAGGGGAAAATGAGAAAGTGTTTGGGGGAAGGACTGCCAGTATACTAGGTGATGCATTCTGGCATATGTACAATTTGCGACCAAGTAAGTGACCCTGGGCATGTCACACACTCTCACCCTCAGGGGATGGTAATGGCAACCCCCATTTGAAGAAACATGGCAAGAAAACCCCATGATAAGATTGCCTTAGGGTTGCCATAAGTCGGAAAGGACTTGAAGACACACAAGAACAACAAAAAAGTCTGTAGTTGCTTCATAGGTAGTACATGGGATTAGGAGCCAGCATGGTGTAATGGTTTGAGTGTTGGACTACCACTCTGGAGACCACTCTGCAAACCTCCTCTGAACCAGTCTTACCAAGAAAACCCCAGGATAGGGATTCACCTCTTAACCGCTGCTGCTTCCTCCTCCTGCCTCACACCCACCACGCCACCCCTTCCTCCCCTCTCCTCCTCCTCTAACCTGACTTCCTCTCGTCTTCCTCCTCCTGCCGCACCACCCCTTCTTCCCCCTCCTCCTCCACCCTGTGTATAAGACGACCCCCAACTTTGGAGAAGATTTTCCTGGGTTAAAAAGTGGTCTTATGCACCAGAAAATACTTATATTTAGAAGCATTCACAATGTTCATCCAGAATTGTCAGCACTGATATGTGAATTTACTTTATATACAATTATTTTTACAGAAGCACTGGTAATCCATTCTGCTTCCATTTATCCATCCACCCCAGCTGCATGCCTCTTCATGTATTTTAGGACCTTTGGCATCTATGTTTCATATTTGAACTAACCACCATAACAGACATTTGTTTTGTTTTGTTTTTTCCCCATGCAGGGCAGATTCAGTGGCTTGGAACCCCCACAAAATGCTTATGACTGGGCTGCAGTGTTCTGCCTTCTTACTCCAAAATAGCTCTGTAGGTATTAAGGATTCCTCCCTTCCTGGTCTAGGAGAACAATGTCTCCTTACCCTCATCCCATGGATGGAGATGCTGGGAATATTTCAGGTTAAGGAATCTCCTTTGCAAAGTTGTGTGACTGAAGGAAACAAACAACAACAACAATCTAATCCAATTCTCTGTCAAAAAGTCAAGGTGCCTTTACTATACATAAGGTATACAGATTTGCATAGATTGCCTTATTTGTGTAATTTCTTGTAAATCTACTAGCCCCTGGAGGGGATTAGCTATACAGAACGCAGGAAACCCCAGACAGTGATAATAACAAATATTGCTGAGTTGCCCTTTAGTTCTGATGTGCTCACACACCTAATTGCAGTCATTAGACCTAGAAACAAAATAATAATAATAATGAGATACAAATAAAATCTAGTCAAAATGAATGTGTATGCATGTGTAGAACTACTTGAATATACACAGCCCTAGTTTTATTCCTCTACTAAATTCTCACTGGCTTACAATGACTGAACACTTCCTCCCAAATTAGCACAGCAAGGTTCCCCATCTACTTTAGGATTAACATGTCTCAAGGGCTGCCTTATCCTATATGAGTTTACAGTCATTACTTATGTTTTGCTAATAGCAAAATTTTGCAAGGCTAGAAATGTAGGAAAAAGCCTGCACCATTGCCATGCCCTTATGGAGGAAATAAAGTCTGCCTTGCTCTTTTCCTGTTGTTGGTCTGATGTTTTACAACATTTTTCATCTTTTGTCTAGTAGCTAGCTTGCCAGGCTCTTGATGTCTTAAATTCAGCAGTTTTTTAAAAAAAAATTCGGATCTGCTTTCTCCTAATATTTTTATTCTGTTGCTCTCTTACATTTTTCTTCTTTGAATTATTGAACATGCCTTGAGCACCCTGATGGATATGCAAGTTATAAATTTTCAACTTGTAAAAAAAGTTTTTTAAAAAATGTTTTTGACCT